CAGACCAAAATATTTTAGCAAAAACTCTGGCTAACAGGCTTAGCACTTTAATTGGCAAATTGGTCCATTCAGACCAGACCGGCTTTATCCCTAACAGAAACTCATTCTTCAATCTCAGGCGCCTCTTCAACATTATGTATTCTCAGAGGTTACCTAACGTGGACCTTGCCGTTATATCTCTTGACGCCGAAAAGGCCTTTGACCAAGTTGAGTGGCCCTATCTATTCAAGGTCCTACAGAAATGTAATATTGGAGATGGGTTCAGTCCTACGGTTACACAAACCAAACGGAACAAGATCCCACAACACACTGTGGAAAACAGGCTGCCTAAGTATGGTACCCAATCAGAGACAACAAGCAACAGCTGATACACGTTGCCTCTGATTGAGAACCACACCGGCCAACATAGAAACAAATGAACTAGAATATAACCCTAGCACACAAAACACATAGAAACAACACACCCTGGCTCAACATAACAGAGTCCCAGAGCCAGGGCCATAACAGAGTCCCCCCCCCCCCCAAAGGTGCGGACTGCGACCGCGCCAAACATAAACCGAACAGGGGAGGGCCGGGTGGGCATTCCTCCTCGGAGGCGGTTCTGGCTCCGGGCTTGACCCCCACCCTCCAACAAACCCCCCAAAGCGCCCCTGGTCCGGTCTGGCCCTGCTGGCCGGAGCTGGACTGAACACTGGTGGAGCGGATTGCTCTAGCTCCGGAGTGGAGCAGCTGACCGGTGCCGGACCAGGCACCGGTGGAACAGGCACGGGCTGTGCCGGACTGACGACGCGCACCATTGGCTTGGTGCGGGGAGCAGGGACGGGCCGAACCGGGCTGACGAAGCGCACCACTGGCTTGGTGCGGGGAGCAGGAACAGGCCGGACCGGGCTGACGACGCACACCACAGGCTTGGTGCGGGGAGCAGGGACGGGCCGAACCGGGCTGACGAAGCGCACCACTGGATTGGTGCGGGGAGCAGGAACAGGCCGGACCGGGCTGACGACGCGCACCACAGGCTTGGTGCGAGGGGCAGGAACATGCCGCACCACAGGCTTGGTGCGAGGGGCAGGAACATGCCGCACCACAGGCTTGGTGCGAGGGGCAGGAACATGCCGGACCGGGCTGGCGACGCGCACCACAGGCACGGTGCGAGGGACCGGGAACAGGGCCGTACCGTACTGGGGACACACACCACTGGTGCACCGTGGGGGGACGCCAAACCTAAACCACAGACTTCGACCGCCGCCAACATAAACCGAACAGGGCAGAGCCGGTTTCATTCCTCTCGGAGGGCTGTCGGCCTCCGGGCTTGACCCCACCCTCCAACAACCCCCAAGGCTCCTCTCAACATTGCCGCCGCGGACCTGACGACGCGCCACCACAGGCCTTGTGCGGGGAGCAGGGACGGGCCGGACCCGGCTTGACACGCGCACCATTGCTTGGTGCGGGGAGCAGGGACGGGCCGAACCGGCTGAACGAAGCGCACCACTGGCTTGGTGCTGGGAGGCAGGCACAGGCCGTAGTTGCGCGTCGTCTAAACAGCCGCTCAACGCATAACAAGTCCCAGAGCCAGGGCGTGACACTCATTTCCCCCAAGCCTATACAACCGGCTACTAATACTAATATATCCCGTCTAAATAAGATTTCCCTATACGCAGATGATATTCTCCTCTATGTAACAGAACCCCAAACTAGTATTCCAGCTATTCTTGAGGTGATTAATTTGTTTGGTACCTTCTCGGGATACAGAATAAATTGGAACAAGAGTGAATTAATGCCCATACGGTTGCAAAACACCTCCTGGCTAGAACATCTTCCAGTTAAGTTATCTTCAGAAAAATGTATCTACCTTGGAATTGTAGTTACCAAACAATACTCCTTACTATTTAAAGAGAATTTCCCCTCTCTGATGCAAAATCTCAAGGCAAACATATCATTTTGGAGAACTCTCCCAATTTCTCTGCTCGGAAGAATGAATGCCATTAAAATGGTCTTCCTCCCACAACTGCTCTACCTATACCAGAACATCCCAGTATTCATACCTACATCCTTTCATAAACAACTGGACTCTATTGTTAATCCTTTCATCTGGAATTATAAAACACACAGGATAGGTAAAAAACACCTATGTAAATCCAAGATGGAAGGAGGATTGTCTCTCCCAAATTTTATATTTTACTACTGGGCCGCTAACCTCCGCGCTGTTACGTTTTTGCTGGATGACGCACCCCCGCCATCCAGCTGGCTTAGTATGGAGCGTGAGGAGTGTCACCCCTTCTCTATTGGTGCTGTGATTTTGTCACCTGTCAATCTGGAGATGTCACTTTACCGTAACAATCCTATTATACATAGCACAGTCCGAATCTGGAAGCAAATTAAAGTCCACTTTGAGCTTAGACCAATATCATTCATGCTCCCTGTTGCCAGGAATCCCTCCTTTGCCCCCTCTAACCTTGATAACACCTTTGAGCGATGGGGAGAGTTGGGGATAAGTACCATAGGGGATTTATATATAGGAGGGACCTTTGCTTCCTTTGAATTGCTGAGGGAAACTTATAACCTTCCCAGAAGTAACTTTTTCAGATACCTACAAATTAGAGACTATGTTAGAAAACACCTCCCAACATTTGGGAATGCTAAACCTTCCATGTTTGACGGATGCATAAAAATATGCCCCACCTCAGACAAACTGATATCTCGTCTATATGACGCTTTTCAATCTGTTAGCGCACCCTCTACTGATGCCATTAAGGCAAAATGGGAGGAAGAACTAGGGACTGACATTTCGGTGGCAGACTGGGAGGATAGCTTGGAGTATATCCACACCTGCTCCATTAACTCCAGACATCGTCTCATACAATTTAAGGTATTACACAGATTACACTATTCCAAAACTAAACTGCATAGGATATTTCCTGATACATCCCCTAGGTGTGATAAATGTCAGGCTGAGCAGGGTACACTACTCCACTGCTTTGCCCTATGCTCTAGCCTGTATGGTTATTGGTGTGGAATTTTTGGGGTCCTCTGAAGTTCTGGAGACTTCAATAGACCCAGACCCGCTTCTGAAAATCCTGGGAGTGTCCGATTCCCTAAACGGATTAACCAACTCCCAAAAACAACTAATCTCTTACGGTCTCATTTCGGCAAAAAAAGTAATCTTGTTGTTTTGGAAAAGGAGGGAAGCGCCCTCTACCAAAGTATGGCTCAGCGAATTGGCAAACACTGTACACTTAGAAAGAATTAGATATATTCTGAACAATAAATTATCAATATTTGATCAAATCTGGCAGCCTTTCCTCTCTTACTTGGACCAGTCGGCGCTGTGAATTTGTACTTTTTAACGCACTCTCAATTGTCATATTGTAATCTACCTTTGGGCAGCGTGTGCAGTCGGGAGGGGAATAGGGTGGAATAAGGGGGGGGGGGGGGGGGTATAAGTATAAGTGGGGGGGGGTTACATCTACCCTTTTTCTTTCTACCTGTCCCTGTTCTGTATGTCTTGTTTTGTAATATTTGTTTTGTGCCCAGAACTCTGGGTCTTGTTGTTCATATCTGTTCTCTTATGTTTAGATAAGAACTGTACACGTGTCATTCATACCTATACACCATTCTTGTGTGTGTTCAATAAAAAATATTTGAACGGATATTAAAGAAAATGTGAAGGGAGGCAGAGTGATTGAGGCCAAAAGGTTGATCAGTAGGAAAGAGGGTCAAAGAAGTGAAAGCTTATCAGTGCTGCTGAGGTTTGAGAAGGTTTTGTCTGGAAAAGTACAGATAGGATTCCTTAGTTTCAATGTCAGAGAATCTGTCCCATCCCCATTGCGGCGTTTTAAATGCCAAAGAATGGGACATGTAGCTGTTCAGTGTAAAGGAAAGAAAATATGTGCCAAGTGTGGAGGGGAACATGATTACGGTGAATGTGAGAGCAATGTGAAGGTTAAATGTTGTAATTGTAGGGGGGAACATAGTTTAGCATTTGGTGGATGCCAGGTGCAGAGAGAGGCTAGAGAGGCTCAGAGATAGAATCAGTCATGATGTAGCATATGCAGAGGCTGTAAAACAGATTGGTGGAATGAATGTGCTGTGTCAAAGGACACTTTGATAGTGAATAAGGTTGGTAAGGTTATCAACACGACTTGGGTTGTGGAAAGGAGAAATGCCATGTTGAAGGTTATAGAGGATACGGCAAAATAGTTATTGGGGGTAACAGATGTTACTGTCAAAATGGTAGAAGTTAGTAGGGATTTATTTGGTCTTTAAATGTTATTTTCTTAGTAATACAGAATTAGGCAGACCATGATTGATCGCACACTCCAGCACAATAGGTGGCGGCATGCACCTTAAACGTTTGTTTGCGGACTGCCATGATATCATAGAAGAAGAAAAAAAAGAAGAAGAAGAAGAAGAAGAAGAACTAGTGGCGGCAACTTCTTCTGGGCTGGGGGGGTTCTATAATAGTTAAGTTACTCAACTGAAGACAATGAGATTCATAGGCAACTGTAATTATTTTGTTTGAAAAGGAAAACGATTAATGTGACAGCACTGTTATGTTTTCTGGCATTTTAATCGATTTCTTTCTCTGTCGTGATAATTGTTTAGTATTGTACTAGTCCAGTAGGTATATTTACTAATATTTTTTTGTTGTTGGTGTTGACAAGTTGGCTAGTTTTGAATTGTGTCCTTAATTAACTTTGGGTTATTTGACGTAATCTCTGTGCGCACAAATCCAAGCCCAGCTGTATTTCCAATGCAGTGTGTAATGCAGTGTAGCCTACTTTTATTCACCATCCCAGCAGCGCAAAATACTTGCTGTTGAGACAAAATAATTTGGGTCTAAAGCTCCGAAAACCAGGTTCTAGTGATACCACTCAATTTTCCAGAAGCTGTTTGCAGTTATTGTATGCATTTCAATTGCACAATTTACAACTCCATTCAGCTCACAACAAAGAACCGTGTTTTCACTGTGTTAAATCTCCATCAATGCCATAACTATTTCTCCAGTTCAGCTTTTAATACAGGCTTACCTGATAGTGTAATTGACATATTGATAACATTGCTTTACATCTGCTGTCCCTGACAGTGATCATATATCCCACAGAGAGGGGAGCCGCTGTGCTGAGATGGCTATGGTATGTCTCACAGACTTTGAGGAGTATGCCAAGGAGCACCTCTCCAAGGCCACCTGGGATTACTACGCAGCCGGAGCAGACGAGTGCTGCACGAGGGACGACAATCTGCTGGCCTACAAAAGGTAGGTACCTCTCCCCGTCCTGTAAACTACAGGACACACAATTCAATATCACAAAAATCAACAACACACCTCAAACTGTAGTGCTAGGAAAATCCAGTAACAATGTGACTCAAAATAATCAATTTGTCTCTGTCCCAGGATCCGTCTGCGACCACGGATTCTACGGGACGTGTCGGTGAGTGACACCAGGACCACGGTGCAGGGCACAGAGATCAGCTTTCCTGTGGGCATCGCCCCCACTGCCTTCCACTGCCTGGCCTGGCATGAGGGCGAAATAGCCACTGCCAGGGGTGAGCACTAGGAGGGGGTTAACAGCTGTAGACGTTGAGCTCTGCAGGTCAATAGCTTTGTTGTCACCGAGTATCCTAGGGGTGGTCAACTCAAAATCTCTCTCTCTCTCTCTCTCCTCAGGTACGGAGGCAGTGAACACCTGTTACATCACCAGTACCTACTCCACCTGCTCTGTGGAGGAGATTGTGGCTGCAGCGCCTAACGGCTACCGCTGGTTCCAGCTCTATTTGTACCGGGACAGGAAGCTGTCTGAGTCGATCGTTCACCGTGTGGAGGCCCTGGGCTACAAGGCCTTGGTCCTCACCGTCGACGTGCCTTACACTGGGAAGCGCCGCAACGATATACGCAACCAGTTCAAGCTCCCGCCTCACCTCAAGGTCAAGAACTTTGACGGGGTCATCCAGGTAATGGTAAAATAAACATATATTTATTTATTTATTTTCTAGATTAAATATTTTTAACAGTAATGATTTAACCGTAAAATCATATTGGGACCGTTTATTGGACAAAGATTAATCATAATTTTGGACTAAGAAGCACTTTCAATGAAGAATCTCTATTGAACATGCTTTTTAGTCCAGGACTAGGCTTAATCTATGTCCGGGAAACCGGCCCATAGTGCGCATCGTAGAGAGAAAGTAGCTGCTATTGAATTATTTAAGAAATCCAACGAATGCATTTCCCCTGAGGCGTCCTTCTGTGTGTATATGTTACTGTACTGTATATGTTACTGTACTGTATATGTTACTGTACTGTATATGTTACTGTACTGTATATGTTTGTGTACTGTATATGTTTGTGTACTGTATATGTTACTGTACTGTATATGTTACTGTACTGTATATGTTACTGTACTGTATATGGTACTGTATATGTTACTGTACTGTATATGTTTGTGTACTGTATATGTTTGTGTACTGTATATGTTACTGTACTGTATATGTTACTGTACTGTATATGTTACTGTACTGTATATGTTTGTGTACTGTATTTTATGTCTGTCTTGTCTGGGTGGGTGTCCCTCTGACACCACCTGTAGGAGGCTGCGAGTTCTGAGGAGTATGGGATCCCTGCCAACACCCTGGACCCCTCCATCAGCTGGAAGGACGTGTACTGGCTGCAGTCTCTCACTCGCCTGCCCATCATCATCAAGGGCATCCTGACCAAGGAGGACGCTGAGCTGGCTGTGGAGCACGGCGTCCAGGGCATCATCGTGTCCAACCACGGAGGACGCCAGCTGGACGGAGGGCCCGCCACGGTAAGAACGGGGACAAAGTACACCACCTCATACTCATGTTCTCTCTATTTCACTCTACAATCATCAAGCCAAACAATATTTAGTTAATGAAATGTTGATATTAAAGGACAGTTAATTTGAGGACTCCTACTGTACAACAATAGAGGTTGAGCTCTAGGGGAAGATCTCAATTGCATACTCCTCGCATCCTCTCCCCTTGTCTCCTTCTCAAAACCCATTGGATGAAATGCCAGAGGTCCCTCCTCTCTGACCTTCTCCTCCAATGGGTTTTGAGAATGAGGCTAGGAGACTAGGAGAGAGGACACGAGGAGTATGCAATTGAGATCTTCCCCTAGAGCTCAACCTCCATTGTTGTACAGTAGGAATCCTCAAATTAACTGTCCTTTATGTCATGGCTAAGTAGGCTTCTCGTTCCTCAATTCTGCTCTCTTCTCTACCTCCCTCTGCTCTCTCTATCTACCACACAGATAGATGCCCTGTCTGAGATCGTGGATACGGTGCAGGGGCGTATCGAGGTGTATCTGGACGGGGGGATTCGCACCGGTAGTGACGTGCTGAAGGCCGTGGCTCTGGGAGCCAAGTGTGTGTTCATCGGGAGGCCAGCCGTGTGGGGCCTTGCCTATAAAGTAACTATTAACGTTGTGTGTCATCGACCTATTAATTTAAGATACTGAGAGTAACAAACTGTCTTGCTGCCTGTGTTTTCCCTCAGGGTGAGGAGGGGGTGAGGGAGGTACTACAGATCCTCAATGATGAGTTCCGTCTGTCAATGGCTCTGTCTGGTGAGTAAGGAACAAAAGTTCTTACATACAAATGATGGATCTTAATTTGAGCCAGTTTGCTACAGCAGGAAAAGAATCCTGCAGCAATAGGACATGTGAATCATTATGTGGATTATAGGGGTTGATCCATTTTTCATTAGAGGAAATCAAGTCTGAAATTTCGAAGTGGAAATTACAAACTTTAGAAGCCTTTTTAAACCTCAAATACACTACAAGTTTGTATTTCCTGCTGTGCAGGAAAATTCTTAGCAACAAATTAAGATTCTACATCTGTAATCATATTTTCTCCAGTCTGAGATTAAAAACCCTTAGCTATCATTGCATCAACCTCATAACAATGCAACACTAATGTTTTGTTGGTCTTTCCTATCTCAGGGTGCAGGAACGTGGCTGAGATCAACAGGAACCTCATCCAGTTCTCCAAACTGTGACTTGACAGCAGGGATCGCCAGAACCATCCAGACGACTATGACGACGCAGCAAAACGGAGCTATCTACTCAATCAGTATAACTTCTAACTAAACCGGAATTTGGGACAACAAAATGAAACCTCTCGTATGAATCATAATGAACTGAAACTGAAACTGAAATCAATATAATAAATCCTCAACTTTAATAGTTTAATCCAATTTGCCTGCCCAATAACTGGACATTTCAATACAAGCAGCTTATATATGATATAACCAGCAAAATATGGTCATCATTCAGCTGAGATATGTTGACATGATATAGATCATGTCATTTAACCTATTCCTAACTCTCAATGGCTGCAAGCCCAGTGTTAACCCATCTATGAGTGAGAGAGGCCTGATTTTGTGTCTCTGATGTGGTGACTAAAGTTAAGTGAATTGTGAAGGTGGATTTGCTTTTAGATCAGGGTCTAACAGAGATCCCTCATTCAAAGCAGATGTGAGGGTGAAATGATTGATCCCTTCTGGTTTGATTGTAATAACTGTTCTGGCTGGTGAGGTGGAATAAGGTTGTGAATGCAGCAGTGAAAGGAGTGGGGTTGATTGGTTAATAGAGTAATGTAACATGGCCGTTTGGCATTCCAGTTCTTAATCCTCTGAGAACAACAGTGTGATTTGATTCAGAACCCTGGAGACACAATGACATGAGAACTCATAGAAGTAAGAATGAATAGAACGGACTTGGAAGTGCTAACCCTGGCAATTGACTGGTAAACTCATAGGTACACTCGCAATGGCTGCCTGGTATTATGATGCAATAATTTCCATGGTATTTTGGAATGTTTTATCAACTGATGCTGGATTGACATGGTAATGTAGAATGTTCATTAAAATGATGCTAACTGATGTGGCTCATGCAAAGGAATGTATTTTTGTCAATTGAGTTGACTCAACAAATCACAGCACAGATTGAAGGGTACACTTTCTGATTTAACTTCCTGGCATGGGTGCACTCAAAATGGCTGCCAGTCCACCCATCATGCCATCATTGACTTGAATGGAGACACCCTTTCTATTCATACTTATTTATATGTGAGAACTACTGTAAAACCACATTGAAAGTAAAATATCATATTTTAGAAGACTTTCTGCCTCATGTCTTTTCATTTAGTTTGATTTGATACTACATTTTATGGTCTTTGTTATTTGTTTCACCTTACAATTTAACTCACATTTCTTTAGATATGAATTCTTTGAAACATGAAATTATAATAAAAATTTAAATAAAAAATAAACTTAAGACACTGAAGTGCCACATTTGGTACTAAAGAAGTACAGTACAGGAGTCTCTGGAGACTGAAAAGATGAGCAACAAGACATTGTATACATCTGTCAAAGATGGTGGATAAATGAAGATGTGCCACCCAGGCCAATTTGGTCTGCATAAGGGGGTGGCTCTCCCATAGGCACCAATGCATTAGCAGCTGGGTCTGGTCTGCTTTGTTCATTGTCTGTATTTGAACCAGAAAAAAATAGCGTGTGGGATGTCTCGCTTCCTCTTCCATCTTCACATCTGTCTTTACAACACCTAATGTGTCAAAATATGGGTGGGGAGGGTTAAGACGAAATGAGCGAGAAAGAGAACTGACACAGGAAGTGGCTGAGCTCTTGGTTAACTGTGAGAAACTGACTATGCTGCTGTTTACCACGCTCTACATAACGGTTCCACTCTGCATCCTGCTGCTGCAGGAAGACATTTAGTGATCTGTAAAGCATTAAACAGATTGCTGTATATTGGTTATGTGTGTATGCCAGAAGAAGGCCGTCCAGTTAGGGAGAACCTGTTGAAAATAATAGCTTCAAGGTAGGTTCCTTCCTTTCCTCTCATGTATGTTAATGCAGGTGTAAAGTGTGTACACTTGATATAGAGCACAAAATCTTACACAGAAACTGCCATGATCCAAAAATAGAGTATATGCATGAATATGTAGTGAGGCGTAAGTTCAGAGTTCAGAGGCTACTTAGATGTAATAAATACTATTTTAATCCACTTGAAACATCAACAAATGTATTAAAGTATTGAAGCAACACCATAGCAACATACTGCAACATAATCAAGTTGAGGACAACTACATTAAACTACACGTACACACTAACACACAGACAGTATGGTAACGAAATGATCAGGAAAGCCCCACATTGCAAAAATGCACCTCTAGCCCTGGGCCTGTTCTGATGAAGTGAGTCATACTATACAGCATTGAGTACCAGACAACTTATGTATGAAACAAAGGCATACTCAACTGTTTAATTTCCCAAATTGTAGCTTGTTCAGAGTGAAGAGGCTCTGAAAGAGAGAACAGCAAATTATATTGTACTGACAGACTAGACATCTCATTAATCCTGCCCTGTTTTAGTTTTGTCTTGTGTCTCTGTTTCTAAGGAACCTTTCACAGAGGGGCAGCAGGAAATCCAGCAAGTCACCAACTGAGATGGGGTAGGCTGATCGGAATATCTGTCATTTTTAGGTTTAAGAATTTGTGGACATTTTTTGACATTTTTATCATTGGAATATGATACAAAACGAGGCAACATGTGCTTTAGGACCATGCGGACGCCTCCGAGTGGTCGGGTAGGCTGTTTGGAGTGTTTATCCGACTGGATAATAATTATTATCATGTTTGTATATGAATCAATGTGAGAATACAAAACACCAGCCACTGTAAACCTTAATGTAAATAGACAAAAAGCCGACATATGCACTTTTCAGCACTGAAGTTAAGAGTTTGTGTGAAAAACAATGTCATAGAAAGGTTCATGTGATAAAGGGTGGAGTTAACTTATACTGTAGCTGAGGATGATACAGCAGCTCTCAGACCCCTGTCGTTGTGTTCCAGGGGCAGTGGAGAGGAGAAGGAGAGTGTGCAGGGGAGGTTTCACAGGAGGCTGTCTCGTCTGGGGAGCCGAGGCTCTCTTAGAGAGCCACCCAGACCTCCACCCCAACCTGTCCAACCCCCAGCCACATCTCCGCCCCCAGCCCCGGCCCCAGCCCCGGCCCCAGTTGACAGACCCACTCTCCCAGCAGCGAAACCTCCAACTCCTCCAGCCCCAGTCCCCTAAACCCTTGGAGCTTCCCCCGAAACCCCCTGAGATCAGCCTGAAGCCAAGCCTCCCTCCAAGGCCTCTAACCAGGCGGTTCAGCAGCAATGAGCACGGCACCACAGTCCTACAGGTACAACCCAACCAGCCCTCATACACCTCATACACCAGCCAGAGATATTAAAGGTATATTATGGTTATCCCACATAAAACATACTACAGTTTACTATAGAATACTATAGTACTTACAATAGAATTCAATAGTATCCTGTAGTAAACTGTAGTATACTGTAGAATACTATACTACACACTGTCGTATCTCTCGATCGTGTAGTGCTTACTATAGAATTGTGTAGTATACTGTAGAATACTATACTACACACTGTATTGATACGCAAATGTTTAATATGCATATACCCCACCCATTCCCCTCCCCCATATCCATATCCCCTCCCCCATATTACAACAAATACACTACAGTAAATACTACAGTATACTACAGTCATGTCCGCAAAAACACTGCAGTAAATACTACGTTTAAAAATATTACAGTATACTATAGTATTTTTTCATGTGGGATTATTTAGCTGTGAGGGTTGTCAAGATGTATAAGAATCCTAGGACGATTATTTCAGTAATCTATCTGAATGGTTGCTAACACCATTAAACATGGAGCGGATCTAGACCATTGATGGAAGATGAATGTTGTTCTTCCTTCCAGGGTTTTGAGTTGTTCCGTGGTGATGAGACTCTGTGTGATGTCATCCTGGTGCCTGGGGACAGCAGTGACACCTTCCCCGTGCACAGAGTCATTATGGCCTCTGCCAGCGACTACTTCAAAGCCATGTTCACTGGTTAGTGTGTGATAAATAACATTCAAATATGTCAATATATTTTAATATGTCAAATTATTTCACTGGTGATTGTTTTACAATGTGTGATTGAGAGGATTTGTCGAGGGCCTATGCTCCCAAAGGATCAATGGGCCTAAGTAAGTAAGATTGTTTCACAGATTAGTCTTTCAGGGCTGAACCTATGAAAAGGCTCTCTCTTACTGTACTTGCACTCATCATTTCCACTCAGACCAACCAGCATAAAGGGGAAATGTGGTAAGGAACCAATTCCAGACAAGGACACCGCCATCTTGACTTAAAACTTCCTATTTTTACATCTCACTATGTTAAAATATACGTGCACTCGTACACCATTAACTGTAACAGCATTAACCCTCTATATCTCTCCCTTTTCCTCTCTCCCTCTCACTAGGGGGTATGAGAGAACAGGAGATGAGGGAGATTAAGCTCCATGGGGTGAGTAAAACGGGTCTGAAGAACATCATAGAGTTCATCTACACGTCCCGGCTGAGTCTGAGCATGGCCAACCTGCAGGACACTCTGGAGGCTGCCAACTTCCTACAGGTCCTCCCTGTCCTTGGCTTCTGCAACGAGCTGCTCAGCACTGAGGTTAGTGGATCAGGTTACTTACTGGTACTGAAACAATGGGCAGGTGGATGGGTGGGATGGGTGGATTGAAGAGACAGTGGAAAGTTTGGCCAATGTAAAGACAGGAGACCCTTCACAAGTTCATCCAGTCCTGTCTGTTTACCTGTTTGTGTGGCAGATCACCATTGATAACTGTGTGGAGGTGGAGCGCATCGCCGGGGACCTGCTCCTGGAGGACGTACAGGCCCACATTGGGAAGTTTGTGTGTCAGAACCTGTCAGCGCTGCTACAGTCTGGCCGCTACCTGCAACTCTCTGAGCCCAGCCTGGCCAATGCCCTGGCCAGCGACAGCCTCAAGGGCTTCTCTGAGATGGAGCTGTACCGCATCGCCCGCTCCTGGCTGGACCACGACCCCCCCACCCGCCGCTCCGCTGCCTACTCCCTGATGCGCCATGTCCGCTTCCCCCTCATGACCCCCACGGAGCTGCTCGAGATCTCCCAGGAGGATGAGGGGCGCGACGACGGCGGAGCGGCCATGATGCGCTCGGACACGGCCTGCGTCAACCTCCTGCTAGAGGCCAGCAACTACCAGATGATGCCCTTCCTCCAGCCTTCCTTACAGACAGAGCGCACGCGAATCCGGTCGGACGCCACACACCTGCTGGCACTGGGTGGGGTGATGAGGCAGCAGCTGGTGGTGAGCAGGGAGCTGAGGCTGTATGACGAGGAGATCGGCCATTGGAGGGCGCTGAAGCCTATGGAGGTTCCTCGCTACCAGCACGGTGTGGCCCTGCTCGGGGGCTTTCTCTACATCGTAGGTGGCCAGAGCACCTACGACACCAAGGGCAAGACGGCGGTGGACAGCGCCTACCTCTACGACCCGCGCTTCGACCGGTGGCTGCAGGTGGCCTCGCTCAACGAGAAGAGAACCTTCTTCCACCTGAGCACCCTGAAGGGGAAGCTGTATGCTGTTGGGGGCCGGAACGCCTCAGGAGAGATCGGTGAGTCACTAGTGTACTGGATAGGTTTTTACTGCAATCTGTTACACAGAAATATCAATAAATTGCAAGTGATTATGATCTTTAAGGTGCATGTCGAGTGAATCTACGTTTGTTTTACTCTTTCAGACACCGTGGAGTGCTACAACCTCAGAAAGAACGAGTGGACGTTCGTGTCGCCCATGAACGACCCCCACTACGGGCATGCTGGGACAGTCCATGGTAACCTGATGTATGTCTCAGGTGAGTTTCTCAGACCACTGATAGTTAGAATACAAACTTACCAAACAGTTAAAACCTACAATGTAGAAGACCTGAATTGACTGTAATTGTTGTCCTGATAAAATCAGCTCAGTCAGACTGGAGAGGTTTTGAGTTAATGAATTCAGACAAACAAAGGCTGTGTTGTTGACGTGTTTTAATCCACTCTTGCCGCTTAACAGCTTTGATGGTCTTTAACATAACATAGTAGTTCTGGAAGGTTCTCATTCATCTTGGTCGATTTCTATGTCGATCTCCTAGCAACCCTGAGGGCCAGGAAACACAAAGACCTTTGGTTGAAATAGGTCAGAGAGTATACTTATTTTCCGACGAGGTTAACCACAATTGTGTCAATTTCATGCTCACAGACAGCCAGAAAACAGCTTATTCTGAACACATGCTTTGAAAGTGCATGCAGAAAATGTATCATTTTTTATCTGCATTAATTTCAACAGTGGCTTAGTAGTTTGAGCCCAAGGGTGAGTGGCAGTGGCATGACAAAAAGCAGGTGGATTCCATTGGAGGTGTGGGGAACATGTAGAGGAGGGTGTAATGTGCAGAGGAGGCTGGTGGGAGGACCTTTTGGAGTACAGGCTCATTGGAATGGCTGGAATGGAATAAATGAAATATAATCAAACATGTGGATTCCGCTCCAGCCATTACCACGAGCCCGTCCTCCCCAAATAAGGTGCCACCAACCTCCTGTGGGCTGAATGGCAACAAAAAATCACTAAGGATCATGGCCCTAACTAGCAAAGGATCATGGTCGATGTAGTCATTTTCATCCTGCCTGAGAGAGTCAACCGGGAGTCTCCTCGTAGCCTGCCGGCCCGTGATTGGTCTGTGTCAGCATGTGGCCCTGTGTGACGACAAATGTAGCAGTCAGAATGGATCGCTATTTAATTAAATATCTCAATTTCTAGCGAACTTTAAAATAATTCACAGTGGGGATCGAACTTGATCATAATAAACACATTTTAGAGCCCAAAACGACGTCTACATTTTTTGGGTTTGGCCGTTCTGGCAATCGAAATTTACATAGGCTTTCTAGGGCAGACCAGGGCTTTGGCACTGCTACGTTGCTACACAGTAGCCGACCAGCAGAGCTCGTGACTTCACGCTCCAGACCGGACACTGGGAGCCTGGGTAATGGCCACAGCTCTCTGCAGCTCACAGCAGCAGACCACATCCTTCCTGTTCAGACCCAAACATTTATGATTTTCACATTACTGCTCCTATCCCACTCTACACTGGTGGTTGACAGTATGGGTAGGAAAGCACCTGACCACCGGCTCACAGTTCAGTCCCCTACACCGTCATTCTTTCCTTCTCAACGTCCATCCTTCACATTTACAACCAAAGTTACATTGCCTTCCCCTTGAACTCCATGGCTCTGTTCACGTCAGGGGAAGTGAGCAGGAGTCAACGACCTCGGTGGAACTCCACATGATTATGCATAGTATTGACGTCAGACGGAATCACCAAGGACACTGATCGCGTGAAACACAGTGTGTCTTCCTAATGTTGTGAGATTTTCTCTGTTGTTTACAGAACACTGGTGCTGTGAGATTAGAATAGCAGGGCCTGCTTAGAGAAAGTATGAGAAAAAATGAATGGCTGCAGTATTGCCGTTAACATTGATGATTATGAGCACATGATAGATGGAATGTTAAGGCATAATTGTATGAATGTGTGTATTCTTATTTTACATTTATGCAGTTCTGTCCTTGAGCTGTTCTTGTCTATTAATGCTCTGTATTATGTCCTGTTTTATGTTTTGTGTGGACCCCAGGAAGAGTAGCTTCTGATTTAGCAGTAGCTAATGGGGATCCTAATAAAATACCAAATACAAACTCTCTCTGACTATGGTGTATTCCACATCAGATGAAAATGGTATGGATGGATTGATATGAAAATGTTTGTCTTATTAAAAACATTGTAGTTTGTAGTCATAAAACAGTATTTTAGTAAACATGTGGTCATGGTATCTACAGTATCTAATAATGAAACCAATGTCAATTCACTGATCCAACAGGCGGAATCACACGGGACACGTTCCAGAAGGAGCTGTTGTGTTATGACCCTGAGACTGACACATGGAGTCGCCGTGCCGACATGATGGAACTGCGTGGCCTACACTGCATGTGCACAGTGGGCGACCGGCTCTATGTGATGGGAGGGAACCACTTCCGGGGCAGCAGCGACTACGATGACGTACTGAACTGTGAATTCTACAGCCCGGAGGTGAAACATGGCAAAGGCCTTGGTTTTGGTCCCAACAATATAATAAGCAATTTTACCACTTTCCCGAAACCTTACTCTAATCCTAACTGTTAGTTAACTAAGTCCTGAGTTTGATGGTCACATGTCTTAAAGTTTTAGGAACTTTCTGGGTTGGGCAAAAATGACAACCAAACAAGGAACCAATGACACTTGGAGAAAAGCGGAATTCTGAGAGCCATTTAGAGCTCAGACCTGTGTTTTATATCTTCCCCCAGGTGGACCAGTGGACGGTGGTGGCGGCCATGCCACGGGGCCAGAGTGATGTAGGGGTGTCCGTGCTCCAGGGCCAGGTCTACGTGGTGGGGGGCTACTCCTGGAACAGCCGCTGCATGGTGGACATCGTGCAGCGCTACGACCCAGAGAAGGACGAGTGGGACCGGGTGTTCAACGTGCTGGAACCCCTGGGCGGCATCCGGGCCTGCACCATGACCGTGCATCTGCCTGAGGGTGCCGTGGACGACGGCCAGATGCAGGAGTGCCCGCTGGACACCACCAAGAACTGAAAGCTGAGATCAAGAACATATGGATTTAGCCTAAATGTGACCTTTTTGTGGGAGAAGTGGAACGTTTGCAGTAGAATTTCTCGAATAGGTCCCACCAGGGGTTGAAACTGGTTCAGGGAACAGAACAGAAAACCGGAAAATAACAAAACATTTCAAGGAACAGAAACGGAACCGGGAACGAAAGTGATCCATACTGTTCCGGAACAGAACCTTTATTTTAAAAGCATGGCAACCGGTTAATAACATTATTTTACGTTCCAGGCATTTTTTTCTAGTCCCACAAGAAAATTCAACAAAGTGCCTATGCAAAGCCGTCACTATGTCACTCAGAAACGCATTCCAGTGTCTGCCTGCAAGATTAAAATCTTTGCCTGTGCGTGTGAGTGTTTAGGCTATCTGCCCCTCCCCCCTCCGAAGCATAGGCTTCTGTACTGACGTTACAAGCGTGATTCAGAAGATAGGGAGAGAGATTTTTTTTTATTAGTTAGAGAAGAATGGATTAACTTGTTCAATGCTAGTTAAGGATACTATAGGCCTAGTTATCAAGTTTCATGTTGGATTTATTAACTACAAAAAGGTTTTTAATTCTGGTGCCACTCTGCGCACACAAGTTTGTTAGCTAGCTAGCTCAAATTAGTTAGCTAGCTAGTTCAAATGATATTCAAAATTTCCGTTGCATCTTGCGCTATAGGCTACATTTGTCTGTCCATCACGCATGTAAACAACTAGCTTGCCTGCTCTATCAGCACTAATTGGTGGAGTAATTTAATGAGCTAAATGTAAAAAACGGTTGATTTCACAGGTTAAAAAAGGAATAGAAAGGAACAATATAAACCAGTACTTTTTGAGGGGTTCAAACCAGTTCAGAACTTTCTTTTGCTGGTCAGAACAGTGGAATGTCACGGGGAAAAAAATAGTGGTTCTGTTCAGAACTAAATGATTGGGAAATCATTTTGGTTCAAACCCCTGGGTCCCATTGCCTCCTTAGCTATGTGGTTGACTGACTGTATGTGTAGTTGACTGACTGTTAGTTTCTACTCCTTGAGTCTATTTTGTTGGAACTATTTTGTATCTGAATGACTTCTGCTATGCTCTTTAATGTGCAACACTTCTCAAAAAGCTCCTTTTCATGGAGAATATTTTTTAAACTTTTGACATTGTATTTTCAAACTGTAAGTAATGGCTTAAATTATGTTTGATTGATTAAATAGTATTTTGTATTGTATATGAACGACTAGTGTACTTTTATGAAAATAAATGAATCATCATACTTTTCAAAACAAACCGGACACCACACAATCTAACATTTCAGCCCACTAACTAGTCTAGAGGGGTTGATTGAGTTGAAGTGATGCGGGTGGAATTCAGCTGTAGCCTTGGCACAGTGACATCATCCTTCATCCTCCAGATAAGACAGCAGAGAGGGAGGCCCTGATACCAGACCAAGGTCTTCTTTAAACACGTCTGCTATCACAGGGAGATGGAGAGCTTATGAAACTGGAAACAATAAACTCAACAGACACCAAAACCATATTTTTAAAACCATCTCATAACACAGACATGTCCAGTGTGTAACTCTAGAATCTTGAGCTGTTCAAAATGCCACAAAACCACCTGCAATCATATACATTTGGCAGTTTATGAGAGGATGAAACCACTTCAACATATGCTACTCATGACTAAGCTGATCCTAATGCAGATCCCAGATTAGGTTTCAAATCTGGAATAAATGACACAGGCTGAATATATAGATGCTTTATAGAGCATGTAGAGAATCAGTGGCCAAGCCTGTCAAAATAAACCAGCCAGAGCCAGTAAATCTACAGTGTATTGACTCTACCCTGACCAGAGTCAGTTTATCACTGTGTCAACAGGAGACAAAAACAAATTGTTAGTCTTCTGGCAGACGTCGCCTTGACATTCAAGTCTTCGCAGACTGTTTTCCATGGCTGGTCTGGGACCAGTAGCCTTGGCGGCCGTCCTTGGCAGATACTGGGTAATAAAACGTCCCTGTCCTCCCTCCCTCTCTTGCGTCTGCCTGCCTCTAGACCTTGCCTCACTTCTCACCCCAGAGTGGCAGCGTTACCGTCACTTCTAGCACATTCCCTACGGCTAGAAAAAGGGAGTTTTCAGAGAGGGGTGTTAAGTTAGGAGTGTCTGCCATGCCCTCAGGATAGCAAGAGGAGTTTTAGGACAGGGGACAAAGTCCGGCGCATTGGTCATTCCCAGTGGCTAGGAAAGGGAGTTTTCTGAAAGGGGTTGTAGGTTCAGAGTTTGGACTGGGCCATGTCTCTGCAAGGCGATGTGTGTGTGGTGACAGGAGCCTGTGGGTTCCTGGGGGAGAGGCTGGTCCGGCTGCTAATGGAGGAAGAGAAGCTCACAGAGATCCGTATGCTGGACATACATGTCCGACCACAACACATACAGTGTCTGGAAGGTAAATACTATACCAGCTCTCCTTTCTTTCTCTCTCTCTCTACCAGGGTTAGTGTAAATATTGATATTTTACAACTTTTCTTTGGTTTGTTTCTTCTCTGATTGGTTTGTTGTCAGAGGTCAGAGGGGACACGCTGGTGAGTGTATTTGAGGGGGACATCATGGATAGTGAGCTGCTGAGGAGAGCGTGCAAGGGTGCATCGCTGGTCTTCCACACCGCGTCCCTCATAGACGTCACCGGGAAGGTGGACTACGGTGAGCTTCACAGGGTCAACGTCAAAGGTATGATCAGATTTGTGTCGGGATTGGCAGCAGACCTGAGTGAAATACACATGTCCAATACTTTCAAATACTTGAGCTGCGCTTGAGAACTGAATTGACCCTGCTGATGTACTCATTGATCTGATATCTTCCTCAGGAACCCAGCTCCTTCTGGAGACGTGCGTCCAGGAGAATGTGATGTCCTTTATCTACACCAGCAGCATCGAGGTGGCAGGCCCCAACGCCAACGGAGACCCCATCATCAACGGTGATGAGAATACCCCCTACACATGCTCCCTAAAGTTCCCCTACAGCAGGACCAAGAAGGAGGCAGAACGGGTCACCCTGCAAGCCCAGGGTGAGGTGCTCCAGAATGGGGGCCGGCTGGCCACCTGCGCCCTCCGACCCATGTACATCTATGGAGAGGGCTGCCGCTTCCTGCTGGGCCACATGGGAGACGGGATTCGTAACGGGGACATGTTGTACCGTACCTCCCGTCCGGAGGCCCAGGTGAACCCTGTATACGTGGGGAATGCGGCCCTGGCCCACCTCCAGGCCGCCCGCGCCCTGCGAGACCCCCAGCGGAGAGCCGCCATTGGAGGGAACTTCTACTACATCTCAGATGACACGCCTCCCGTCAGCTACTCTGACTTCAACCATGTTGTGTTGTCGCCGCTGGGCTTCAGCATCCAGGAGAAGCCTATCCTGCCCATCCCAGTCCTCTACCTCATCTGTTTCCTCATGGAGATGCTGCAGATGCTGCTCCGCCCCTTCAAGCGCTTCACCCCGCCCATAAACCGGCAGCTCCTTACCATGCTGAACACACCCTTCAGCTTCTCCTATCGGAGGGCTCAGAGGGACATGGGGTACACCCCGCGGTACAGCTGGGAGGAGGCACGCAAGCGGACCATGGATTGGGTGGCTTCCCAGTTACCCAAGGAGCGAGAGCGAATAAAGGCTAAATAATTGCCCCACGATCTGCTAATAACACTTAATATATAACTCACCATCCCCAGTCCAAGTGTATAATCCTCATTACTGTACTCTGTAAAAGTTTATATTAAAGTTGTGTGAAAACCAATCTCTGAACTTTTTCTTTCCCGGTCTGTTCACACTTATGAACACTCAGCCTGATCCATTTGATATCATGAGAAATGCATGGAGACTGACACTGTATTCTAAATCCCAGACACAATATGCCTACATGTCCTTGATCTAGTTCTCCAGAGAGGAGGATTCTTAAATAAAAGCTGAGCTACTACAGTCTGATTCCAGTTGCAGGTCCATCTCTATGGTCACATGGACAAGTATAAGGGTAGACTAGTGTGAATCCATTGCTGAATTCAACATATGACACGGTGAGAATGTCACCCCCAGACGCCCAGAGCTTAGTATTAAAACAAACAGGCATTGATCACCAGTGAGGTCATGGATCCACAGCCAGTGGCAACCCACCATATAGACTAAGCACTGGGTCCTGAACAACACACGGACAAACGACTGGAGCAGGAGGGGTATGTGGGTATGTTTTCATAAGACTAGTTTACTGTGCCAGCTGAGCTTTGCGAGAAAGCAGGGAAGGAAATTCCCCCAACCCCCCATCTCTGTTTCTGTGTACTATTTCAATGCCAGGCATTGTGAAATAACATCTTATGTTCAGCTTTATTCTCTTAATTAGATTCCTGCCCTGTTTGTGGTCACTGTTGACCAGTAGAGGATTGAATGGTATTTCAAGAACCAAAGTGAACTACAGGACTATAACATAGTCATTGCATAGCTACAAGGACTGCTGAGAGGGAAAATAGGAGTTTCCAAAGCTAAGGATCTGAAGCACAGTTCACCAACACAGTTCACCAACCTAACTGGTAAAGCCAAGTTACCATTCTTGACACTCTTCTTTCAAGAGAATGGGCTGGAAACTAAAAACAGTGCAAACTATTCTCAGTATTCTAGCCTTCTACGTCACATCTGCAGTAGGTAAGTACAACTCATTTCTATTGCAGAAGCTTCTTCCTAATACAGTTCTATGAAATGAATATACTAACCTTGCTCTAAGAATATGTATTATAGTATATGCCATGTCACTGTAGATGTAAAGCATTCTTTAAAATCATGTTGTGAAATCATGTTTTTTTTTTTGTGCAAATGCTGCATCTGTCGTTGTTGTTGTTGTTCAAATCAAATCAAATTGTATTTGTCACATGTGCCGAATACAACAGGTGTAGACCTTACTGTGAAATGCTTACTTACAAGCCCTTAACCAACAATGCAGTTCAAGAAATAGTTAAGAAAATATTTACTAAATAAACTAAAGTAAAAAAGTGACTATGCATAGATAATAAACAACGAGTAGCAGCAGTGTAAAAACAGAGGAGGGGTGTCAATGTAAATAGTCCAGGTGGCCATTTGATTAATTGTTCAGCAGTCTTATGGCTTGGGGGAAGAAGCTGTTAAGGAGCCTTTTGGTCCTAGACTTGGCACTCCGGTACTGCTTGCCGTGCGGTAGCAGAGAGAACAGTCTATGACTTGGGTGACTGGAGTCTTTGACAATTTTTAGGGCCTTCCTCTGACACTGTCTAGTATATAGGTCCTGGATGTCAGGAAGCTTGGCCCCAGTGATGTACTGGGCCGTACGTACTACCCTATGTAGCGCCTTACGGTCAGATGCCGAGCAGTTGCCATACCAGGCGGTGATACAACCGGTCAGGATGCTCTCGATGGTGCAGCTGTATAACTTTTTGAGGATCTGGGGACCCATGCCAAATCTTTTCAGTCTCCTGAGGGGGAAAAGGTGTTGTCATGCCCTCTTCACAACTGTCTTGGTGTGTTTGGACAATGATAGTTCGCTGGTGATGTGGACACCAAGGAACTTGAAACTCTCGACCCGCTCCAATTCAGCCCTGTCAATGTTAATGGGGACCTGTTCGGCCCTCCTTTTCCTATAGTCCACGATCAGCTGCTTTGTCTTGCTCACATTGAGGGAGAGGTTGTTGTCCTGCCACCACACTGCCAGGTCTCTGACCTCCTCCCTATAGGCTGTCTCATCGTTGTCGGTAATCAGGCCTACTACTGTTGTGTCGTCAACAAACTTAATGATGGTGTTGGAGTCGTGCTTGGCCACGCAGTCGTGGGTGAACAGGGAGTACAAGAGGGGATTAAGCACGCACCCCTGAGGGGCCCCAGTGTTGAGGATCAGCGTGGCAGATGTGTTGTTGCCTACCCTTACCACCTGGCGGCCCGTCAGGAAGTCCAGGATCCAGTTGCAGAGGGAGGTGTTTAGTCCCAGGGTCCTTAGCTTAGTGATGAGCTTTGTGGGCACTATGGTGTTGAACGCTGAGCTGTAGTCAATTAACAGCATTCTCACATAGGTGTTCCTTTTGTCCAGGTGGGAAAGGGCAGTGTGGAGTGCGATTGAGATTGCATCATCTGTGGTTTCCCTTTGTAGTCCGTAATAGTTTTCAAGCCTGCCACATCCGATGAGCGTCAGAGCCGGTGTAGTAGGATTCAATCTTAGTCCTGTATTGACGCTTTACCTGTTTGATGGTTCATCTGAGGGCATAGCGGGACTTCTTATAAGCGTCCGGATTAGTGTCCTGCTCCTTGAAAGCGGCAGCTCTAGCCTTTAGCTCGGTGCGGATGTTGCCTGTAATCCATGGCTTCTGGTTGGGATATGTACGTAAGGTCACTGTGGGGACGACGTCATCGATGCACTCATTGATGAAGCCGGTGACTGAGGTGGTATACTCCTCAATGCCATTGGATGAATCCCGGAACAGTGCTAGCAAAACAGTCCTGTAGTGTAGCATCCGCGTCATCTGACCACTTCCGTATTGAGCGAGTCACTGGTACTTCCTGCTTTTTTTTTGTTGCTTATAAGTAGGAGTCAGGAGGATAGAATTATGGTCAGATTTGCCAAATGGAGGGCGAGAGAGAGCTTTGTATGCATCTCTGTGTGTGGAGTAAAGGTGGTCTAGAGTTGTTTTTCCTCTGGTTGCACATGTGACATGCTGGTAGAAATTAGGTAAAATGTGGTGGTGTTGGTGTTGTTCTCATGGTTCTTTATGGACATTTCTCCTCTGAACCTGCAGGGGAAGATGAGCAGCCCAGATCAGAATGTGCTGACTTCAACAACAAGACCTGGCTGGAGTACCATCAGCAGGGCAGCAAGCTACAGGTGCAGTACCTGCTCTTGACACGCAAGAATACAGACTGTGCCAGCCTCTTCAGTCAGGAATCCCTCAGCAACAACGCCTCCTACTTCAACTCCTCCCAACCCACCAAGATAATTGTCCATGGATACAGGTGAGGAGAAAGGGAGGGAGGGAGGTCAAAAACTTGGTATATTCATACTCTACATATAAAACGTATAAGCTATCTCTCTCTCTCTCCCTCCCTCCACCTCCCCTTTCCTCCCTCCCTCCCAGGGCTCTGGGCAGTAAGCCATCCTGGGTGAAGCAGCTTGCCCAGGCTCTGCTGCAGGTGCAGGATGCCAACGTGGTGGTGGTGGACTGGGTGTATGGGGCCTCATACGCCTACAACCTGGTGGTGGAGAACTACAAGGAGGTGGCCGTCCAGATCTCTGTCCTCATCAACCAGCTCCAGGTCAGGGCCTCCTCATTTGTTTACGTCTACATACTGACAGCAAATTAAGTTAAAAGTAATGAAAATAACGGAGATCTGATGTCTGTCCCACAGAACCATGGATGCAAACTGGAGTCATTTCACTTCATTGGGGTTAGTCTTGGGGCACATGTGTCTGGATTCGTGGGGACCCTGTTCAAGGGCGAGATAGGGAGAATCACAGGTGAGCGCCATCTGTGGCTGACCCATTAACAGTTCCACAGGGCCCCTACTGTCTGCAGAACAAGGCTCTACAGGGCCAGACAGTCACTCACAGACCCTCTCATCTCTGCCAACCTGACTGAATTAGACTTTCAAAGAAAGAGACAGCTCCGGAAAACAACAACAGCAGACATTGAAAGGTGGCACTCTGAATTTGTGAAAGAGGGAGACGTTACCCTTCTGAGGTCACACAACGACACAATAATACATACAATTGTCTGTCTGCACATTATCTCTGGTGTTTTTGTCAGAGTAGAGGCCTTCAGCGCTGTGATGTGAAGTAGTCTGAATGCTTTAGTACAGTAGTTCACAGGCTCTCTGTGTGTGTGTATTTATGTTTGTCATCACTGTTGCTGATGCAGTACTCTATCTATCCCCCACTGACCTCTGTATCTCCTGCTGTAGGTCTGGACCCGGCTGGACCCATGTTTAAAGGAGCCGACAAGTATGACCGTCTTGACCCCTCAGATGCACTGTTTGTCGAGGCCATCCACACTGATTCCGACTGTGAGAGAATAGGCTACACACAAATCACACAAATTATTGTTATTGCAAAGAGATTTCTGCTATCTTTCCATCTTTTCCTCTTAAACCTATTCAATTTCAAAAGTCTCACTGTTCATTGGAATGACAAAATGATGTGTCCTGGTATCAGCCTTTCCACATCGATTATCAACCTTTTATCTCAGATTTTGGCATCTCCATCCCTGTCGGCCATGCAGACTTCTTCCTAAATGGCGGGATGGACCAAGCAGGTTGCTCGCACTCCAGGTTTTTGTCAAGTAAGTGCGTGTTTGGCCGCCAAAATGTTTCATTGGCGAAGAGGCCTAACCTAAGTGTGTATTAATTTCAGTATCAGCTTCAGACATGTCGTTCAACTTAAACAACTGTTTATCATTCACTAACTAAGCAGTAAGCACTATGTTTACTAACCTATAGGCTATTTAGTGGTAAGCTTCTGGCTGCCTGAGAATCTTCGTTTGTGGTCAGTTCTTGTCTACTTTCCAGTATACGGCAGTGTGATCTGTAACCACATGAGGGCGCTCCACCTCTACATAAGCGCACTGAACGGGACCTGCCCACTGTCTGGCATCCCTTGTTCCAGCTATGAGGACTTCCTCAAGGGGCGCTGTTTAGGCTGCCCGGGAAGATGTCCACGAATAGGTGAGTGCATCATCAACATTATGCTATTTCCCCAGATATTATACAAACCTGCTGTCTGTGAGTACGTTGGTCGTGCAAATGTAAATATTATAAATAGCCACCTTTTACATGTAGCCTATAGTAGGCTATTTACAAACGTGTGAAATGTGTTTAAATATGATATTTTTGTCATATTCAAACTTCCCAGCACACTTTCCATTTTCACTTTAGTCAGGTTTCACTTAATGAGAGACAGTGCAACTGTCTGACCTAGCTAGTGTCATGTCTGGTCTGGCGTCCACTTATCACTATGGTGCACTGGCGCAGCAGATACAGTGACAGACTGCAACAGATAAACCAGTAAATGTACTATGGAGGCCTTTCATCTGTCATAACTGTGATAGGAATTGTTACTTTACATCTTACTCTCTGTCTTTTTTATGTGCATGTGTCCTTGTGTGTTTCAGGGTTATTGGAGAACAGCGGAATAACAGTCTCTCCTCTTCCTCAACTAGAGAAGCTTTTCCTCCTGACAACCTCTGCACCTCCCTTCTGTGGTGAGTAGCCTACATTTATCTCTATGTAAAAACACAGACTGGCTGTCCCATCAGACGATTGTTGGATGCTCATTATGACACATCCCCACTACTTTGGCCCCTCAGTTGAATGGTTAAATACAGAAATATCTCATGTGATGATAATCAAGTTACATCCCGTCCCCTTCTCCCATCCTCCCCCTCCTCCTCTTTCCCACTCTGTTCCCTCTCTCCCCAGCCCATCACATCCTGGTGCAGCTGGAGGTGTCCCCCCTGGACAAGAGTGCTGAGGTGCAGGTGATCCTGAGAACTGAGGGACTTCCTCGAACAGAGCAGAAACTCAGGCTGTAGGTACAACCATTAACCCTTACTGTTAGAGACCAAAATGTATACACAGCATGATTCAAAGCTGTTCACGGTATGATACGTAAACATGGATTATATTCTCAGTAACAGGCATGCTGTGTGTGTGTATTTCAGAAAGTCAGACAGCACTGTGTATAAGAGGGTGATAGGCCACCCAGTGCCACTGTGTGAGATAGACTCCATCCAGCTGAAGAACACTGGAGCACGCTTCTACCGGCAGGGAGACATCCACTTTGTGTCTGTCTGCATATCAGAGTTCCCCTCTGTCGGGTATAAGTCCTTTCATCTATTTAACACACACATGCTCTCACACACGTACCTACACCACACACAGCAGCATGCAGTGTGTATGCATTCCTGTGCATGCATATGACACTGTTACTCTTTCGTTTCTCTTTCAGAGAAGTGGAGCCATTGTGTGTGAAGAAGATTGATGTAAGGCGAGGAGCTCCATGGAACCATGATTTTGTGCAGCTGTGTTGGAATTACTGAGAACCCTCATGTAGTAAACACACACAGAGCCTATGAACCAACATGTGTTTCTTTCTCTCTGGCAACCTCCCAATAGTCTGAAACAGCGTCCTCTCCTCGTCTCCTTTCCTTCATCATCAATGATGTGGAATGCTTTGATAGGTCTAAGCGGTAAGGAGGAAGCCTATCCTTATAGTTAACATTTGGCATGAAGGAAAGGAAATTAGGGGTTTTACTGGGACTAGCTCACACAGAAACACACACATGCAGCTAATAGCTCCCGTTGCAAACAGCTACACACAAACACAAACTTTGCCATGCTATAACCCTAGTCATGTTACTGACGAACCACCTACAGCCAAACAAATTCCAGGACAGTTCCAAACTACTTTTTTAAATGTCTTTAGTATTTTCTAACAGCATTAGTATTGCTGTACATAATCATTCCGATGCAGCTGAATGTTACTTTATTCAGAGCTTCTGTTGAAGCGAAACAATAAAAGGGTAACTCTGGAACGTGTGTATTTTGTCTGTTCTCAAGGGCTTACATCTGTGAGTTCTGAGAAGCAGGGGTGAGCAACATGTGAAACTGTGATAAGAACTGAGTTTGAGTGCCTCATGATGATAAACTTTGAGACAACATTATTTCTGACAAAGGATGGAGGAGAGAGTAGACAGAATAAAAAATGACAGGCAATGCATTTTCACCAAGAGCTTTATGGAGAAACATTGGCCCCATGAAAATACATTTTTATCACAGTGTGTATATGTAGTCCCATTTTTTATTTCAACAACAAAAACAAAACGCTCCTGCTCTATGTTTATGACTAAATAAATGTACAATGTGTGAGACATCTCACATTCACATACACAAATGCCTGTTCAATTTGAAATCATGTTTTGGGAAATGTGAGTATGAAGATAAATCCCTTTCTAGCATGCTGTCTGTCAAACTTTATTCTCTCAGATTATGTCTGCACAAACAAACACGATTAACGTGCCCCTAGCTAGCCAACCCAACCCTGGCTGTTCAAAAATAAAAGACACATGATTGCTTTAATGTGGAATCATAATCCTATCTAACACAATATACCACATCAAAAGGCTTTCCATCCAGATGAATGGGAGACATGTGAGTGACATAATAAAAAGAGGTCTGTGACCTTTACTATTAAATGTAGTTTTAGAACATAATTCTGTTCAGTGTCCAGGGTTTCACTCTTTCCTATATTGTCACGCACATCAGAGGAAGAGAGGTAAGGTGAGAGAGTGGAATTTGGTGTTGGGTGGGTCTGATTCCACCCAGGGCAGTGATGATGGTTGTGTTCAAGGTTGTCTTTTTTGCAGTCGCACTGCTCATCTCAGGAGAACGCTATATAAGACAATGTGGTTCCTGAGATGTTAAACACTTTGCCAGGTGTTGTGACATCTGATAATCTTCATAGCCTGACTGTAATAAAGACTTTCTGGAATGTGTCCACTGTTTGTAATGCGGGTGAAACCATCACAGCTTATGGGTGTCCGTGGGGGCCAAAGGAGCTCTCCCTCTCTGGTATCGCATCGGTACAGTCCCAGCGTTTTCCTCTCCTGTGGAATCAACAGAGAACACCGGTCATTGACAACTGGTCGGTCTATCATGAACTGTCAAGAAACACAAGCAGAACTGTTACTACGGCAACCTACCTAATGGCAGGCAGTTCATATTAACCTTGTCCAAGTATAGAGAGTATTTCATCTTCCCTTAAATGCTATGTACATGCCTTACAGCTCAAATACAGTATAGTGTAGGGTTGCAAGATGATCTCACAACGAACGCTCACATTGGTCAAATTACATAGGCATAGTCCTCACATTCCTGACACCTGAACTGGTTAACAGTGAGGGATGTATTGACCTGTGATGTGACATTTACCTGGTTTCCATCCAACCATTTCATGCGAATTAATTACCTGACACATGAAAAAAGTCACAACCGGGCTGATGGAAATAGGAAATGTCGAAATATTTTATAAATGTCAGACAATTTGTTCATTCGACATGGTGGGATCTTTTTGTGTAAGTACATTTAATTATGCGAGAAATGGCTACAGATTAAATCAGTTATGATGAACTTACATTTAAGTCACTGGGCACAGACGTCAGTTCAACGTCTAGTTTTGATTTACATTTGTGAATTCAACATGAAATAAACAAAAAATGTCACCATTGGATTAAAAATTGCGTGAAAAAAAATACAAAATGCCCTCATGTTCATGACTTTTTGCAAATCCAATCAGTTTTCCACCTTGATTTCATATTTTTTAGGGGGGGGGTTGAAATGATGTCGAAACAATGTTGATTCAACCATTTTTTGCCCAGTGGGAGGGTGGACGGTGATGAGCTTGATGGTCCTTTCCAATAAATAATCGAGGGTCTTATTCTGGTGACATGATGATCATGCTTGGCTGCCATTTGACAAATAAAAATAATCTCATCATGTAAGTAGCCTACCCGCACTGTATCTGCAAGCGGTTGGCTAGAGCACACGTGTCAAGACCAGAATGGGCATATTTGCTATATAACACAACAGTTTTTTTGATAAAACCATCACTAGAGATGAAAATACAATGGAAACCCATTTAACTTGTATTTTTAAATTTATTACGCACAGCCTTTTATCCACAAAAAGTCAGCTTGATGGAAACATGCGCATATTGTTTTATGCAGATTTTACAATATTCACATGAAAATCTGTCGCCAATTGGATGGAAACCTAGTTAATGATAGTGGAGTGATGAGCTGTTCTCTAAGCGTGTCTGGTCTCTGCTTTCACATGACCCACATCCCTCATATCCCTCACCCCTATCATACCTCACCCCTGTCAACCCTCACCCTTCTCGAACCTCACTCCACTCATTCCCCTACTTGCCGTAGCCACTGGCTAACCGACCATAGACTGTACCTGAAGGTCATAAGCCGTTACAATGACAGCAGAGTCAGTGCCCTCCACCCTCTACCCAGCAACTATCCTGGAATCCAACACCCTCTCCCCACTCCGCCCAAAACACGGTCTGTCCCGCAATTGGTTCTGGGAGGATTTGGGGATAGCGAGGGAGAGGGAGGGGGCAGTGGGCAGGCACGTGGATTAAGTGCATGGCACTGGATCTCTGACTGCCAGGATATCCCAAAAGTTTCCAGCAGGCTCTAATCCTTGTCAGACAAAAACACACAGCTGACTGCCAGCATCCCACCCCCACCCTGCTGTCTCCCCTTCCTGTTCCAAACTACAAACCTCCAACATACATTCAGATGGTACCCTCATTTGTCTGAACCAACATAAGCTACCAGGGTCACTCTGAGGTAAACGGTTTCATAAACTGTAGCACAAAATTGTCTTTCATATGGCCTGAATCCTGGCGGAAAAGGGCAGTCTAACCTACTGTAGGTAAACAAACACACCCATCCTCAGCAGGACATTAGCTACCAAGAGGGCAGGCCACACACTGGGAGATGAATGAGGGACAAGCTGCAATATACTCTCCCCTACGTATTTATTTGGACAGTGAAGCGCAAACTTTTAATTGGGCTCTGTACTCCAGCATTTTGGATTTGAGATCAAATGTTTTATACAGTGCATTCGGAAAGTATTCAGACCCCTTCACTTTTTCCACATTCTGTTACATTACAGCCTTATTCTAAAATGGATTACATAGTTTTTCCCCCAATCAATCTACACACAATACCTCATAATGACAAAGCAAAAACAGATTTTTAGAAATGTTTGCCAATGTATTAAAAATTAAAACGGAAATATCACATTACATAAGTATTCAGACCATTTACTCAGTACTTTGTTGAAGTACCTTTGGCAGCGATTACAGCCTCGAGTCTTCTTGGGTATGATGCTACAAGCCTGGAACACCTGTATTTGGAGAGTTCCTCCCATTCTTCTCTGCAGATCCTCTCAAGCTCTGTCAGGTTGGATGGGGAGCTTCGCTGCACAGCTATTTTCAGGTGTCTCCAGAAATGTTTGATCGGGTTCAAGGCTCTGGCTGGGCCACTCAAGGACATTCAGAGACTTGTCCAAAAGCCACTCCTGCGTTGTCTTGGCTGTGTGCTTAGGGTTGTTGTCCTGTTGGAAGGTGAACGTTCGCCCCAGTCTGAGGTCATGAGAGCTCTGGAGCAGGTTGATGCTGCCACCACTATGCTTCACCGTAGGGATGGTGCCAGGTTTCCTCCAGACGTTACGCTTGGCATTCTGGCCAAAGAGTTCAATCTTGGTTTCTCATGGTCTGAGAGTCCTTTAGGTGCCTTTTGCCAAACTCCAAGTGGGCTGTCATGTGCCTTTTACTGAGGAGTGGCTTCCGTCTGGCCACTCTACCATAAAGGCCTGATTGGTGGAGTGCTGCAGAGATGGTTGTCCTTCTGGAAGGTTCTCCCATCTCCACAGAGGAACTCTGTCAGAGTGACCATTGGGTTCTTGATCACCTCCCTGACCAAGGCCCTTCTCTCCCCATTGTTCAGTTTGGCCAGGCGTCCAGCTCTAGGAAGAGTCTTGGTGGTTCCAAACTTCTTCCATTTAAGAATGATGGAGGCCACTGTGTTCTTGGGGACCTTCAATGCTGCAGAAATGTTTTGGTACCCTTCCCCAGATCTGTGCCTCGGCACAATCCTGTCTCAGGGCTCTAATTCCTTCGACCTCATGGCTTGGTTTTTGCTCTGACATGCACTGTCAACTGTGGGACCTTATATAGACAGGTGTGTGGCTTTCCAAATCATGTCCAATCAATTTAATTTACAACAAGTGGACTCCAATCAAGTTGTAGAAACATCTCAAGGATGATCAATGGAAACAGGATGCACCTGAGCTCAATTTCGAGTCTCATAGCAAAGGGTCTGAATACTTACGTAAATAAGGTTTTTCTGTTTTTTATTTTTTAATACATTTGCAAACATTTCTATAAACCTGTTTTCACTTTTCATTATGGGGTATTGTGTGTAGATTGATGAGGAAAAACAATTATTTAATCAATTTTATAATAAGGCTGTAACGTAACAAAATGTGGAAAAAGTCAAGCGGTCTGAATACTTTCCGAATGCACTGTACGAGGCGACCGTACAGAATGTCACCTTCTATTTGAGGGTATTTTCATATGTATCGGTTTTACCGTTTAGAAATTACAGCACTTTATGAATCTAGTCCCCCGATTTGAAGGTGTCATAAGTATTTGGACAAATTCACTTATAGTGTATTAAATTTAGTCAAAAGTTTAGTATTTGGTCCCATATTCCTAGCACGCAATGACTACATCAAGCATGTGACTCTACAAACTTGGATGCATTTGCAGCTTGTTTTGGTTGTGTTTCAGATTATGTTGTGCACAATAGAAATGAATGGTAAATAATGTATTGTGTCACTTTTATTGAAGCAAAACATGCTAACCTCTCACCATTACCCAATAACAGGGGACTATATGTATATATATATATATATATATATATATATATATATATATATATATATATATATATATATATACACACACACAGTGGGGAAAACAAGTATTTGATACACTGCCGATTTTGCAGGTTTTCCTACTTACAAAGCATGTAGAGGTCTGTAATTTTTATCATAGGTACACTTCAACAGTGAGAGATGGAATCTAAAACAAAAATCCAGAAAATCACATTGTATGATTTTTAAGTAATTAATTTGCATTTTATTGCATGACATAAGTATTTGATCACCTACCAACCAGTAAGAATTCCGGCTCTCAGACTTGTTAGTTTTTCTTTAAGAAGCCCTACTGTTCTCCACTCATTACCCGTATTAACTGCACCTGTTTGAACTCGTTACCTGTATAAAAGACACCTGTCCACACACTCAATCAAACAGACTCCAACCTCTCCACAATGGCCAAGACCAGAGAGCTGTGTAAGGACATCAGGGATAAAATTGTAGACCTGCACAAGGCTGGGATGGGCTACAGGACAATAGGCAAGCAGCTTGGTGAGAAGGCAACAACTGTTGGCGCAATTATTAGAAAATGGAAGAAGTTCAAGATGACGGTCAATCAACCTCGGTCTGGGGCTCCATGCAAGATCTCACCTCGTGGGGCATCAATGATCATGAGGAAGGTGAGGGATCAGCCCAGAACTACACGGCAGGACCTGGTCAATGACCTGAAGAGAGCTGGGACCACAGTCTCAAAGAAAACCATTAGTAACACACTACGCTGTCATGGATTAAAATCCTGCAGTGCACGCAAGGTCCCCCTGCTCAAGCCAGCGCATGTCCAGGCCCGTCTGAAGTTTGCCAATGACCATCTGGATGATCCAGAGGAGGAATGGGAGAAGGTCATGTGGTCTGATGAGACAAAAATAGAGCTTTTTGGTCTAAACTCCACTTGCCGTGTTTGGAGGAAGAAGAAGGATGAGTACAACCCCAAGAACACCATCCCAACCGTGAAGCATGGAGGTGGAAACATCATTCTTTGGGGATACTTTTCTGCAAAGGGGACAGGACGACTGCGCCATATTGAGGGGAGGATGGATGGGGCCATGTATCGCGAGATCTTGGCCAACAACCTCCTTCCCTCAGTAAGAGCATTGAAGATGGGTCGTGGCTGGGTCTTCCAGCATGACAACGACCCGAAACACAACTAAGGAGTGGCTCCGTAAGAAGCATCTCAAGGTCCTGGAGTGGCCTAGCCAGTCTCCAGACCTGAACCCAATAGAAAATCTTTGGAGGGAGCTGAAAGTCCGTATTGCCCAGTGACAGCCCCGAAACCTAAAGGATCTGGAGAAGGTCTGTATGGAGGAGTGGGCCAAAATCCCTGCTACAGTGTGTGCAAACCTGGTCAAGACCTACAGGAAACGTATGATCTCTGTAATTGCAAACAAAGGTTTCTGTACCAAATATTAAGTTCTGCTTTTCTGATGTATCAAATACTTATGTCATGCAATAAAATGCAAATTAATTACTTAAAAATCATACAATGTGATTTTCTGGATTTTTGTTTTAGATTCCGTCTCTCACAGTTGAAGTGTACCTATGATACAAATTACAGACCTCTACATGCTTTGTAAGTAGGAAAACCTGCAAAATCTGCAGTGTATCAAATACTTGTTCTCCCCACTGTATTTGGACAAATATATATATATATTTCACCCATCTACACACAATACCCTAAAATAACAAAGTGAAAACATGTTTTTAGAAATGTTTGAAGAAAATGTACTGAAAATGAAATACAGAAATATCTCATTTACATACAGTACCAGTCAAAAGCTTGGATACACCTACTCATATTTTTACTATTTTCTACATTGTAGAATAATAGTGAAGACATCAAAACTATGAAATAACACATATGGAATCACGTAGTAACCAAAAATAGTGTTAAACATATATATTTTATATTTGAGATTCTTCAAATAGCCACCCTTTGCCTTGATGACAGCTTTGCACACTCTTGGCATTCTCTCAACCAGCTTCATGAGGTAGTCACCTGGAATGCATTTCAATTAACAGGTGTGCCTTCTTAAAAGCTCATTTGTGGAATTTCTTTCCTTCTTAATGTATTTGAGCCAATCAGTTGTGTTGCGACAAGGTAGGGGGGTATACAGAAGATAACCCTATTTGGTAAAAGACCATGTCCATATTATGGCAAGAACAGCTCAAATAAGCAACGAGAAATGACAGTCCTTCATTACTTTAAGACACGAAGGTCAATCAATACGGAACATTTCAAGAACTTTGAAAGTTTCTTCAAGTGCAGTCGCAAAGAACATCAAGCGCTATGATGAAACTGGCTCTCATAAGGACCACCACAGGAATGGAAGACCCAGAGCTACCTCTGCTGCAGAGGATAAGTTCATTAGAGTTACCAGCCTCAGAAATTGCAGCCCAAATAAATGCTTCACAGAGTTCAAGTCACCGACACATCACAACATCAACTGTTCAGAGGGGACTGTGTGAATCAGGCCTTCATGGTCGAATTACTGCAAAGAAACCACTACTAAAGGACACCAATAAGAAGAAGAACGGATGATCTCCGCATGTGTATTTCCCACCATAAAGCATGGAGGTGGTGTTATGGTGAGGGGTGCATTGCTGGTAACACTGTCTGTGATTTATTTAGAATTCAAGGCACACTTAACCAGCATGGCTACCGCAGCATTCTGCAGCGATACGCCATCCCATCTTGTTTGGGCTTAGTGGGACTATCATTTGTTTTTCAACAGAACAATGACCCAACACACCTCCAGGCTGTGTAAGGGCTATTTTACCAAGAAGGAGAGTGATGGAGTGCTGCATCAGATGACCTGGCCTCCAAAATCCCCTGACCTCAACCCAATTTAGATGGTTTGGGATGAGTCGGACCGCAAGACTGTTGGAAAAGCATTCCAGGTGAAGCTGTCACAAAATTCAGGCTGTCACAAAATGTATGAATACTTTCTGAAGGCACTGTATGCCTCTAACTTTCTCACTCACCATTATTCACGATTCATTCATGATTATCCGTAATCATGGTAGCATCCACATTAATGTAGAGGTGTTCAGAAACATATTCTATTCTTATTTACAATAAAAGTGACAACATTATTTACCATTCATTTCTATTGGGCACAAGATAATCCAAAAACAACCAAAACAAACTGCAGATGCAGCCAACAAGTTTGTAGGGTTATGAGCTTGATGTAGTCATTGCGTGCTATAGGAATATGGGACCACATTTAATACACTATAAGTGGATTTGTCTAAATACGTATGACACCTTCGAATGGGGGGACTAGATACATAAAGTGCTTTCATTTCTAAACGGTAAAATTGATATTTATGAAAATACCCTCAAATAAAAGGTGACATTCTGTACTGTCACCTCATAAAACGTTTGATCTCAAATCGAAAATGCTGGAGTATAGAGCCAAATTAAAAGTTTGCCGTAAACTTTAGAAACTAGAGACAGAGAGGCCTTCGGGGTTGGGTGGGTACCCATGAGGCGAGGTGTCCCAGTTCTGCCAACTCTTTGATCAATCCAATGTTTTTCCTCTCAGGCTCATTAGTTTTTACAAAGAAATATCGATTTTACTAACTCACTCTCTCGACTTTCATATAATTTTAGAAGGCGAAAGAGCAAGCAGTGCATAGCCTCTGCATAAAATAGATTGAATATGTCAGATAACAAAAACTGAAAATCACTCAAATCATTGCAAAGTGAAATTAGGTTCTTTACAACATGGCCTGGCCTGTTCAAAGCTGGATTAGTGAGTGTGGACACAGCAAGCAAAACACACACGCAACCCCCCGCCCAGCCCACTCTCTCACTGCACACAGGTGTACTTACATACAGTGAGCTCCATAATTCATTGGACAGTGACCATTGTTTTGTTATTTTGGTTCTGTACTCTAGCACTTTGAGTTTGAAAGGATACAATGACAATGAGCGTGAAGTGCAGACTGTCAGCTTTAATTTGAGGGTATTTTCATACATATCGGATGAACCGTTTAGAAATGACAGCACCTTTTGTACATGGTCCCCCCATTTTAAGGTACTACAAGTATTTGTTAAATTGGCTTCACAGATGTGTGTCGTTAGGCAGGTGTATTCATTTGTGTCGTTAGTGAATGCAGGAGAGCTGTTGATGAATAGTAATGATTCTAGACGTTGCTATTGCCTTTGGAGGTTGTTATTGGGGTGTGACAACATGAGGAAGACAGCAGTGTCGATGCAAATGAAGTTGGCCGTCATAAGGCTCAGAAATGAAAATCAATCATTCAGGAACATTGCAAAAACCCTGGCCATGCCCAAGTCAACAGTTTTGTTCATCATTAACAAGAAAAAAACAACCGGTGAACTCAATTATGTCAAAAGACCCGGTAGACAGAGGAAGACCACTGTAGTGGATGACCGGAGAATACTCTCTATGGTGAAGAAAAAACCCCTGATAACAGCCCAACAGATCAAAAACACTCTCCTGGATGCAGGTGTAGATGTGTCAAAGTCTACCATACGCAGAAGACTACACCAGCAGGACTACAGAGGGTACACTACAAGATGCAAACCACTGATAAGCCTGAAGAACAGAAAGGCAAGATTACAGTTTGCTAAAAAGCACCTAAAAGAACCCCAAGAGTTCTGGAAAAAAATATTGTGGACAGATGAGACAAAGATTAACATGTACCAGAGTGATGGAAAGACAAAAGTGTGGAGAAAAAAAGAAATGCCCATGATCCAAAGCATACCACCTCATCCATGAAACATGGTGGAGGGGGTGTTATGGCTTGGGCCTGTATGGCTGCCAGTGGAACAGGCTCACTTGTCTTCATCGATGATGTGACTGCAGACAGAAGTAGAACAATGAATTCTGAAGTCTACAGAAATATTTTATCTGCTCAGATAAAACCAAATGCCTCCAAACTCATTGGACGGCACTTAATCACGCAACAAGACAATGACCCTAAACATACTGCTAGAGCAACAAAGGGGTTTTTGATGGCCAAAAAGTGGAAAAACCTTGACTGGCCGAGTCAATCACCAGATCTGAATCCAATTGAACATGCATTTTACATGCTGAAGAGGAGACTTAAGGCAATAAGTCCCCGAAACAAGCAGGAACTGAAGATGGCTGCAGTACAGGCCTGGCAGAGCATCACCAGGGAAGATACCCAGCATCTGGTGATGGCGATGCATCGCAGACTTCAAGCAGTCATTGCATGCAAAGGATATGCGACCAAATATTAACAATGATTACTTTATTCTACATTATGTTAAACTGTCCAATGATTTTTGATGCCCGAAAATGGGGGGGACCATGTACAAAAGCTTCTATAATTCGTAAACGGTTCATCCGATATGTATGAAAATACCCTCAAATTAAAGCTGACAGTCTGCACTTCACCCTCATTGTCATTGTATCCTTTCAAACTCAAAGTGCTAGAGTACAGAACCAAAATAACAAAAGAATGGTCACTGTCCAGTGAATTATGGAGCTCACTGTATATCTTAAGTAGTGGCCCAGTGTGTTAGCTCCAGCAACCTGCCTTCTACCTCAAATAATCCCTCTCACTCCCATAATCCATTAAGGACCCGGTCATATCCGCAAAGTCCTCCAGGACCAGGCTGGTAGAGTCCTCACCAGAGGGCATCTCCATGTCTGAGGGCTGGCGCTGGGAGGGTTGGTGGGAGGTTGGCGCTGACGGGGTGGGGGATCTTCTCTCGGATCTGGCACCGGGTCCACATCCACCACTGCTGCTTCATTTACATTTTACGTCATTTAGCAGACGCTCTTATCCAGAGCGACTTACATTATTTCATTTTTTTTCATACCCCCTGTGGGAAACGAACCCACAACCCTGGCGTTGCAAACGCCATGCTCTATCTGCTTCACTGGGGCTACCTGGTCCCTGGCACTCCCACTACCACTGCCGTTACAGACCTCCCCCTCGTTGCCTGGGGAGGAGGGGGCCAGGACCTGGTAGAGGCTGGGCAGGCGGATGTCGAGGCGCACGCCGCTCTTGGCGAAGAGCTTGTCGTTGAGTGAGTAGAGCTTGTCGGCGATGTCGCTGCCCAGCATGACAGAGAAGAGGCGGGCAATGTAGCGTTCCTTGGACAGAAGCATGTAAAGGCGGCGCCGGCGCCATGAGATGTAGCGGCAGTCCATCTCCGCCGTCAGGGTCATCTGGGGTTCAGGGGGATAGATGGTCAGGGGTGAGAGTGAAGGGAAAGGCTAAATGTTCATAAATTAATGAATGACTGGATGAATGAATGACGAGCATCTGTCCAGTACCTGAAAGTTCCCCTCTTCATTGGGTTGGAGAGACTCCCACTCAGGAGAGTCCATGAACTTGTGGGGGAAGATGTAATGGAGGAACTGTCCATCCAGAGACACACGGATCCTACCAAGGAGAGCAGGAAAGGACAAGGTTAGTAAGAGAGAAGAGGGGAGAAAGCATGGATAGGTGATAATGAGAGAAGAGAGAGAGAGAGAGAGAGAGAAGATGCACATAACTAGGCTTGATCCAAAACCTTGAAACAAGTTAACATGAATACAAGTTAACATGAATATCTCTGTCCTGATCCAAGTTAAACACAGACAGAGAGAAAAACATATATTCTTGGTTTATAAGTCACAGACATTCCCTCAGTGCTCTTTCAGGTATGACTTCATGTTCATGGCATTCGTTTGAAGTCAGTGAAACTTGGAATTGTTAGTCATAAAAATGGCATAAACAGACGTCATCTTATGACACCAAACATTATTTGCGTACGATAGTTAGCTATCCCAGTGTATGAACATTTAATTTTAGAGGTCGTATAGGGGGATTTGTTTACTGTGTTGGTACACAACCTCAGGAGAGCACCAAATATAAAGCTATCCCAACAACTTAGCAGCAGCCACCAGACCTGGGTCAAATACATCACATACTTTAAATTAATTGAACAGCACTTAATTTAATTTGCCTGGTACAATGGAACCAATGGAATAGTCCCAAATGAGCTAAATCAAGCACACCTCAAATACTTGAAAATAAAAGTATTTGACATGATGTATTTGACCCAGATCTGGCACCCTGCCACTAAGGGGAGCAACTACACTACAGTGGGTCAGTGACACGAATACTCTGTATTTTACAACGTCTGGGGCTTGGATATTTTAACCACACCTTCCCAATCCCAACAGACACACACTTGATACACACACTAAATTCGATCTTAGCCAACAAGCAACGGAGTCACTGCTTAGGACACATGACCTCTTGAAAGTGTTCCGTGTTTAATTATATCGTTGGTAAGTAATATCTCTCTCTCAGGTTTCAATGAGCCCTAGTCTGGGTCATTGTCGTTGTCGTTGTTGGAGAGACAGATCAAGAGAGATAAAACGCTAAGCGGGGAATAGAACACTAACCTCACTCAGAACATTAACTAGGAACACTCACTACAACATGACAATTGCAATCTGACATCAGTAATTTAACTAAATTACAATTTACTGTTACTCCAGCAACTTAACTAAAACAAGACTCTGGTCTTTTCCAATATCTACAGTAGCATACTACCACGAATGAACATTGGAATTGGGACTTACACTTTTCCCTCACTCGATGGGTGTCTTGCCCTCCACGTGTACATCTCCACTACCCCTAGTGGCAGCACTGTTCTCACAGGCACCCACAATGTCTTGGAACACCTGTACGGGAACGTCCATGGGCCGGTAGACGGCTGAGTAGAGGGCCGACAGCTCCTCGCTGGTCAGGCCATCCTGTTGCAGCCTGTATATGAGGTGGCAGATCTGGAGCACACAGGCCACTAGCAGTAGCAAGTTCCAGGAAAACACGTCCACCCCACACATGGTCATCCAGCCCCACAGGGCCAGGCAGGTGAAGGCAAGCATCTGGAAACCAAATATGAACAGGCAGCCATAGGCGCCGCTGCCTCCCATGTACCCCAGGAACAAGACGGTGTTGCCCAGGTGGTAGAAGGCCCCCTCTGTGTTGTTGGTCCAGCCATCGCATGGTGGATGGCCGTAGAGAACCGCCTCCAACAGGGTGGAGTTGTCTGCACACATGGTAAGGGAGGCTGTTATTCCAAACCAAATGTCTAGTTGTTCCATAAGTTAAAAAAATTTACACTCAGAATATTCCAAAGTTTACAAAGCTACCAGAGGTCAAAGCTCGTAGAAAAAGTTTGTCCTCCACTCAAGCTTGAAGTTTTTGTTGCTTTATCAGTGAGACTGAACCGTTGTCACTGGAGTTGGCCTATTCCTCAAAAGTTCAGTCAAAACTGAGAAAACATTGCAAAAATAATGTTCCCTGTTGCGCTCTTACATACAGCTGGAGTACACGATTCGTCTTTATTCGGTTATTACACCATAACCACGATTGGAATAGATTTCTCACATTGTGCGTCTCTCCCTCCCTCTTGTCCCTTCAATGTTTTGCTGTGTCGGGCTCTAGATTTTCTTTCTATTTCCCCTCACCCATTTGCTTGCTCTAGAGAGCTCACAGTTGGCAGCACAGAGAGAGCGAGAGGGGGAGAGGGGAGAGAGACCCCTAGAAGGATAACCATGTTTGGAATTGAAACCCAAGGAGTAGAGCCACAGACAGAAAGCAGACCAGCTACTTAACATAACACTGCTGGGGAGAGAGAGAGAGAAGTGAGATAAGTGACAGAGTTTATTAGTCACATGTGCAGGGCAGCAGATGTACAGGTGCAGCTCAATAAATTAGAATATTGTGGAAAAGTTAAGTAATTTCAATAATTCAATTGACAAAGTGAAACTCATATCGTGGATTAATTACACAAAAAGTGAAAGAGTTCAAGCCTGTATTTGTTTTAATCTTGATGATTACGGCTTACAGCTCATGAAAATCCCAAAATCAGTATCTCAGAAAATTTGAATATTGTGAAAAGGTTCAATATTGTAAACTCAAGGTGTCACACTCTAATCAGCTAACTAACTCAAAACACCTGCAAAGGTTTCCTGAGCCTTTAAATGTTCTCTCAGTCCAGTTCAGTAGGCTTCACAGTCATGGGGAAGACTGCTAACTTGACAGTTGTGCAGAAGACAGTCATCAACACCCTCCACAAGGAGGGAAAGCCTCAAAAGATCATTGCTAAAGAAGCTGGCTGTTCACAGAATGCTGTATCCAAGCATATTCATGGAAAGTCAAGTGGAAGGAAGAAGTGTGGTGGGAAAAGGTGCACAAGCAACAGGGATAACCGGAGCCTTGAGAGGATTGTCAAGCAAAGGCCATTCAAAAATGTGGGGGAGCTTCACAAGGAGTGGACTGAGGCAGGAGTCAGTGCATCAAGAGCGTATCCAGGAAATGGGCTACAACTGTCGCATTCCTCGTATCAAGCCACTCCTGAACCAGAGGCAACGTCAGAAGCGTCTTACCTGGGCTAAGGAGAAAAATAACTGGTCTGTCGCTCAGTGGTCCCAAGTCCTCTTTTCAGATGAATGTAAATTTTGTATTCCATTTGGCAATCAAGGTCCCAGAGTCTAGAGGAAGAGTGGAGAGGCACAGAATTCAAGTTGCTTGAAGTCCAGTGTGAAGTTTCCACAGTCAGTGATGATTTGGGGAGCCATGTCATCTTATGGTGTTGGTCCACTGGGTTTCATCAAGTCCAAAGTCAACTCAGCCGTCTACCAGGAAATGTTAAAGCACTTCATGCTTCCTTCTGCTGACAAGCTTTATGGAGATGCTGATTTCATTTTCCAGCAGGACTTGGCACCTGCCCACACTGCCAAAGGTACCAATACCTGGTTCAGTGACCATGGGATTTCTGTGCTTGATTGGCCAGCAAACTCGCCTGATCTGAACCCCATACAGAATTTATGGGGTATTGTCAAGAGGAAGATGAGAGACATGAGACCCAACAATGCAGACGAGCTGAAGGGCGCTATCGAAGCAACCTGGGCTTCCATAACACCTCAGCAGTGCCACAGGCTGATCGACTCCATGCCACGCCGCATAGATGCAGTGATTCCTGCAAAAGGAGCCCCAACCAAGTACTGACTGCATGTACAAGAACATACTTTTCAGAAGGCCGACATGTCTTATGTCATATTCAAGTTTTCTGAGATACTGAATTTGGGGTTTTCATGAGCTGTAAGACGTAATCATCAAGATTAAAACAAATACAGGCTTGAACTATTTCACTTTTTGTGTAATTAATCCACGATATGAGTTTCACTGTCAATTGAATTATTGAAATTACTTAACTTTTCCACAATATTCTAATTTATTGAGCTGCACCTGTAATTGCAGGGTACAGTGAAAATCTTATGCTCCAGGCTCTGCTGGGTGCATATAGAGTGGCTCTGGTCATGCCTCCAGGTAAGTCACACCAAGAAGAACTCTCCCTTCTGCCAGAACTGAACAATGTTTTCACCAGAATCACTATTTGCCCCTAATCCTCACTGGTCCAGTGTGGTGCTAAGAGAGGGGCTCTGCTGGGTGCATATTTAGAGATACTGAAATAGGTAGAATTACAGAGTAGATCGGGTTTCAAAAATGAATCCCCTTCCCCCATAGTTGACATACCATGTCCAACCAGTCAGAGACACTTGTCAGAGGACTACAGTTGTGAAAACTTTTGGGAATGACACAAATACTAATTTTCACAAAGTCTGCTGCCTCAGTTTTTATGATGGCAATTTGGATACTCCAGAATGTTATGAAGAGTGATCAGATGAATTGCAATTAATTGCAAAGTCCCTCTTTGCCATGAAAATGAACTTAAACCCCCAAAAACATTTCCACTGCATTTCAGCCCTGCCACAGAAGGACCAGCTGACATCATGTCAGTGATTCTCTCGTTAACACGGGTGAGAGTGTTGACGAGGACAAGGCTGGAGATCACTCTGTCATGCTGATTTGAGTTAGAATAACAGACTGGAAGCTTTAAAAGGAGGGTGGGGCTTGAAATCATTGTTCTTCCTCTGTTAACCATGGTTATGCTGTCATAATTTCTTTGCACAAAAAAGGCTTCACAGGCAAGGATATTGCTGCTAGTAAGATTGCACCTAAATCAACCATTTATCAGATCATCAAGAACTTCAAGGAGAGAGGTTCAATTGTTGTGAAGAAGGCTTCAGGGCGCCCAAGAAAGTCCAGCAAGCGCTAGGACCGTCTCAACTGCGGGATCGGGGCACCACCAGTGCAGAGCTTGCTCAGGAATGGCAGCAGGCAGGTGTGAGTGCATCTGCACGCACAGTGAGGCGAAGACTTTTGGAGGATGGCCTGGTGTCAAGAAGGGCAGCGAGGAAGCCACTTCTCTCCAGGAAAAACATCAGGGACAGACTGATTTTCTGCAAAAGGTACAGGGATTGGACTGCTGAGGACTGGGGTAAAGTCATTTTCTCTGATGAATCCCCTTTCCTATTGTTTGGGGCATCCGGAAAAAAGCTTGTTCGGAGAAGACAAGGTGAGCGCTACCATCAGTCCTGTGTCATTCCAACAGTAAAGCATCCTGAGACCATTCATGTGTGGGGTTGCTTCTCGGCCAAGGGAGTGGGCTCACTCACAATTTTGCCTAAGAACACAGCCATGAATAAAGAAGGGTACCAACACATCCTCCGAGAGCAACTTCTCCCAACCATCCAATAACAGTTTGGTGACGACCAATGCCTTTTCCAGCTTGATGGAGCACCTTGCCATAAGGCAAAAGTGATAACTAAGTTGCTCGGGGAACAAAACATCAACATTTTGGGTCCATGGCCAGGAAACTCCCCAGACCTTAATCCCATTGAGAACTTGTGGTCAATCCTCAAGAGGCGGGTGGACAAACAAAAACCCACAAATTCTGACAAACTCCAAGCATTGATTATGCAAGAATGGGCTGCCATCAGTCAGGATGTGGCCCAGAAGTTAATTGACAGCATGCCATGGCGGTTTGCAGAGGTCTAGAAAAAGAAGGGTCATTTGTGTCGCACTGCAAATATTGACTCTTTGCATAAACTTAATGTAATTGTCAATAAAAGCCTTTGACACTTATGGAATGCTTGTAATTATACTTCAGTATACCATAGTAACATCTGAAAACACTGAAGCAGCAAACTTTGTGAAGACCAATACTTGTGTCATTCTCAACTTTTGACCACAACTGTAGTCCAAGTGTCACTGGAATAGGGGTCGGGGTGAAGCGAGTGGCTTTGATCATACCACCTGGGATATCGAGAAACAAAAAGAGTTGGTGTCAGACTAGAACGTGCCTCCACACCACACAAGATGCGTCCATTTGCTCTGACCTCTTCTGTTACAAAAATACATTAAAATGTAAAGAACTTTCCACAGAATGGACTTTTCCTTTCTTCAAATACTTTTTACTACAAACATTTGAGTTGAGCACACCAATTCCTTTTAAGAATTCAGATATGCCAAGTGTTGACTGGAGCAGAAGTTATTTTAAGCGAAGTGCATACCAGAGAGAGCAGTTGTCCCAGTCAGCCTCGAACAGTTAGGAGAACATCAAAAGGACCTTCAAACCAGGAAGTTTTTGCAGAGTGACAGGAAGTATAGTCAGCCTTTTCTCATGTATAGTTATGTCTATGGTTCAACATGAAATTAGGACAATATTGCATCCTTAACACTTTCTACCTTTACAATTCATTCAATTGAGTTTCATCCTGCCATATAAAATCAAGTACTCAAGTCAAATTGCATAGGATATTTATGACATTCAAATCAGCAGAACATTCACATAATTCTGAAATCCAGAGCATTAAAAACACATGTCACTCAGTGGAACATATCTTCCATCATGATCATCTTTGCAGCGATCACATCTTCCTTTCATGTTGAGGTATAAATATAAACAAGGAATATCCCAGGTCCCTTCAAGACAGCCAGCCAGCAACGACACACTGCAAGAGGAGAACAGGAGTGTCAACTTTAACAGAAATAAACCAGGAAAGGTAATGAATACTGATCAGAATAAAGAAAAACACTAGTAATATAGACAAGCTTGTCCCCATCCCTGCTTGCGAGCATCATTTATTTAATCTATTTGATTTACATTTCAGTCATTTAGCTGACGCTCTTATCCAGCGTCATACAGTAGTGAGTGCATACATTTTCACACTCCCCCCCCTTCCATAATTCTAAA